CGAGAAAATCACAAAATCTCAAAATCGACTTCTTGCCCGAACATTCCTTTGACTTAGGTCCACCTGATTGAGGTTGGGTATGGAGAGGATGCGCTTAAGGCGTTGGGCAGGGTAAATAAGGGCACTCTGCCCTTCTACATGAATGTGATGCGAGTGAAGTATCAACTTCTGCCCACCGATACACCCAATCTCTTACCTGTGCCGGAGATCCCAGATAAGAGTCCATACTTGAGGCAGGCATAGGTCGCTTCTGCGGAGCGTACCTTTGCGATGATTGCCGAGAATACTGTGATACAGTGAATGGAGAGCGAGCGCCGCCATGATCAGGATCCTGCAAAGGATAGTTGACTGACTCCAATGGGACAAAATGAAAACTGTACCTCATACAACGGAGATGCCACTTCAGATTCCCCGTCATGTTCGATCATCAATCTTCTATGTTTATCGCTGGCCTTCTCCAAGAACATTCCAACTAGAACTCAACTATCTTTTAGTGGAAAAAGATGTGCTTTCATCTTTCATTTCAGTATACACTCAAATTTTTTCTACTCTATCTTAGCAAGCAAGCTATTCAAATAAGAGGTAGTAAGACTATCATTCTGTTAGGTAAAGGCAAATGCATGACGAAGGCGCAGAAACAGTATTAGTTGAGCGAGCGCGAACTCGGAGCGCGCGTATTTTCACCGTTGTGAATCCTGCGCCTCATGCGCTCTGCGGCTAATAAAGGCGCGTTCGCATCTAGTCAACAAATTCTCGATAATGAGAGGAATCACCAAGGCTTGCATGATCAAAACATCAAAGGTACTTACGTCTGGACGAATGAGCCTTCGAATACACCAGCTGATTTGGGTGTTCAGTCGTCAGACCGCTAGATATGACAAGGTTCCTCTGAAATTCAAAGAGGTGAGTTGGTATTATCGAAATTACCCTGAAGTTAACCGAACGATATAAGTTCAAAAATCAAAGCGCAAAACTGTTATATAAAACAAATGGATATGAGATAGGAAACACTACGATAACAGAGCGCTGCCTACCTTTTTCTCCACTGTGGGAGGCGTCCTCTTTATCACCGGAGCATTAGAGAACAGAACCTGAGCGTAGTCAACGGGAGCATCGCGTTTGGGTATCTGAACAACGACCAAGGTTTCATACAGAATTCCAGTCAAAACAGGAAAAAACAGTCTAGACATGGCCAATCACTAACCTTCGTAGATGGTGCACTTCTTGAGCTCGTCGCTGTGTCTTCTGGAGATCGGTTCTGGTTAGCGCGATTCCTGCAAAACATCTAGAGTATAACTGAACCTATCCTAAAAGGCAAATGATCACGAATTTAGGAGGTCGTACATACCTTGAACTCAGACTCTCCATTTCCTTATTGATTCTGTCCAGCACATGGGTATCACTCATCATCATGCCAGGCTCCAAAGGTCTTGCAGGCTGTCTTTTCGATTCTTCACGACGCCGAGATGAAGAAGAAGAAGGTGTGGGAAGATTCTGCAACACTGATTTTCTGATGGAA